GATCGCAACCCTCAGTGTTGCCCCCGTACCGGACCGGGGACCGGCAACGGGATCGCAAGCCTCGGTGTTGCTCCCGCGCCTCGCTCAGCCAGTGAGCGGGAGCCGGTCTGCATGTGGGATCCGAACCCTCGGACGGGAGCGCCACCGCGCTTCCCAAGCGGCGCACTATCTAGTGCGCCACCGGGCCAGCCCCAAAACGTTTTTTTGAATAGGTGGGTTTGGTCTTTCTTTTCTCGTTTTTTAAATGCTTAATAAGATTTTCATCAAAGTACAAAAAGCTTAAAAATCAAATGGACTTACTTTTTTAGAACAGCAGTCCCACTCAGCAATGAAAAGGAATGAAATATTGATACACACAACAAGGTGGGTGAATCTCAAATCCATTCTGCAAAGTGAAAGAAAGAAGTTGGACTCAAAAGGCTACCATATGACTATGTTTATATAATAGTCTGGAAGAGGCAAAACCATATAGAGATGGGAAACAGCTCTGTGGTTGGCAGGGGTGGGGTAGCAGAGAGGATTGTCCACAAAGGGAATTGCAAGGGGGTCATGGAACGATTCTCTATCACAAATGCAATGGTGGATAGAGAACTCTATGAATTGTTCCAAACTCATGGAACGGTACACCAAAAGGAATGAATTTTATGGTATATAGATAAAAAAAATACATATATATTTTTGCAAAAGCCAGTAGTCCCTTTCCAAACTTTATCAAATGCCCCACTCTCCACCACTTTTAACTGTTTCAGCTATATCTTGTATTCCTTGCTTCTAAATAAAGTGCTTAATTGCTCCTTTTCAGCAGTGAGCATTTTCTGTCGACTTCCTACCATGAAGAATATTGAGCTCTCATGCACATTCCTCCTCTCTCTCCCATACACATACCCATGTATGTCTCATCCTCCAATCTCCTAGCAATTAAATTTGAGACTACTGAATACATTTGAACAGACTATGAAGTTATTTAGACAGCGGGGTGAGAACTTGGGGCTGAATGTGTGGCAAAGAGATGAAATACTAAGCAAATATAAAATCAAATTATTTATCTCATGGAAACCACTAAGAAAACACATAAGAAAAAGTATAGTGTATGACACAGCGCATTTGAATATTATTTACATGGTTATAATAAATACTAAATATGGAGCCAGCCAAAATTATGATTTATCTTCTTTAACTTCTCTCCGGGACCATTCTAGTCTGTTGCAGTCTGGACCATTTCTGTGTGGGATGTTTCTGGGGCATCCTTCATCATTATCCCTGGAATTCCATTCATCTTTCTTTAGGGCTAGGGCTTCTCTTTCCTAGATCCCTTGATCTCTTACAAGGTTTACCCTGTCATTTAAGTCAAAAACATCCTCCAATAGTTTCCCTAGAAAAAGTACATAAACATTTTTTGAGACCCTGAATGTCTAAAATGTTTTCAATCAACCTTTCTATTTAATTGATAGTTTAAATGGTTAGGGAGTTCTGACTGGAATTTTTAATATTTTTTGCTGCACTGTCTGGCTTCCCTTGTTGCTCTTAAGAAATACAGAGAATTCCAATTCCTGACCCTTTGTATGGGACTGGAAGCTTGTTATGTTTCTCTGTTTCCAAAGTTAGGGAATTTGTAAATACATATCTTGGTGGGGATCTTTCAACCTCTGTGCTAGACCCTTTCAAATTGGAAAATAAGACCCTTAATTCTGAAATTATTTCTTTAGTTTACTCTACTTTGTTTTCTTTATTCTTTTTCTGAACGCCTGTTCCTTGGAATTTGATCCTTCTGGGTAAATTCTGTAATTTTCTTACCTTTCTTTTCCTATTTTATCTTTGTCTTTTTTTGTTTTACTTTTGGGGATGTCCTTGACTTTATCTTCTAACCCTTTTGAATTTTCATTTCTACTGTCATTTTCCCCCCATATTTTTAATTTCCAAAATTTCTTCCTTATTCTGAGTTTTTAAATAGAAATTTGTTCTAGTTTCATAGATATAATCATCTCTTAGCTTTCGTAGTTGATTTTTCCTGTTTGTTTTAGTCTCATGTTAGAGGTTTTCTAAGATGCCTGGTGAACACTGACTGCTATGCTCAAATTTAACGATGGAGCATCAAATAATTAATTGGAAGATCTGTGCTTTTATAGGTGGAGCTGGTTGACTTTATGCTTCCTTTTAGGACAATCTTGCTGGACAATTTACGTAGAAAACCTCCACTATCATTATCTTTGAGTCTTTATTCTTCAGCAGTCAGATTCCCCAGAGAAGAATCTTTCACTGTGACACCAGGAGGATATAAATAAGTCTGGCTACCAAAATTCTAAGATGGGGAAGAAGGCTGGGGGCTCAACATTCAGAATCCTGTCTTTTCCATCTACTCTTCCCTGCCCCTGCTCTGCCTAGGGTCCCTTGGTCAGAAATACTCTGTTTATTGTTTGCAGATAATAGATCTATGTTCTGGTATCACATAGGAAAAGGATTATCAACTGGCTGCTTGATGTTGTGGAGGAGAGTTGGAGGTCTCTAACTCTGAAACAGACTTTTTAACTAGATCGCCTATTTTTAGTCCTACCTTCACCACTTTCTTCAGAGATATTACAAGCCTTCAATTTTGCTTCTCAACTTTTCCTACTGCTGACACGAATACTCAGCTTTCTCCAATCTAATCATTTACTATCTCTAGCTTCCAAATTGTTTCTCTCATTTCTACCCCATCTAAAATGATCCCTCCACTTCATTATTGTCTAATACCCTATACATTCTCTTCTCAAAAGCTATCATAATCTTTAATTATTTCATTTGTTATTCATCTCTGCCACTAGACTCTCAGCTCTCTGAAGGAGGACCATGTTTGTCTTGTTCTTACTGATTCTTCATGCCTATCACAGCACCAAACTATGGCACAGGCGCTAAGAATATAGGCTTGGGAATCTGGGTTCAAATCCCAGCTCCACTATTACTAAATACATAGCCTTGGGTAAATAATCTACCTGTGGCTCATTTTCTTCATCAGCAAAGTGGGATAATAAGAAACCTCTATCCTAGAGTTTCTGGGATGACTTAAAGTGCTTGGTACATACTTGGCACTTGGTAAGCAACCAATAAATGGCAGGTACAGGATAAACAAAAATGAACGATTAAGTGTCCTAACAGATATGGTTTGAAAATATGGTCATTATTTATATTTCATACTTAGATTAATTTGGGGCATGTGCTTCTATTCCCTTTTATTAGATTAATAACCTTAGGGTCTTCTGTTACTTTTTTCCCCAATAGGATATCCATCACAAGAGTCACCGCTGACATCTCGCTTGCCAAACGCTCAGTATTAAACAATCCTAGTAAGCATGCAATAATAGAAAGATCCAACACAAGGTCAAGCTTAGGTAAGTCTGTGTAATACTGATGAGCTTAAGCTATTGAAACACTCCCTTCTTGAGGATAACGATGAGAAGATCTAATAAGATGATAATTCCATGTGTCAGAGAGCATAGAAAGAACAGACACATGTTGACAATAGCTAGTGCTACAGTCTTAATGATTTTGTAGTTTGGAAAGATTTGTCGTGATAGTTTCAAGTTAAAAATTCCATATGCTGTCAGCATTATTGTTTTGGTTGTGGTTTGTTTTCACTACCATATGCTTTGGTGTCTACAAACTAAAAATTCCTGGCTTTGCATCAGTGTTACCATGAACAAGTTTATTAACCTATTGATTGATTGATAGGTAGCTGGCCAGTAAGGGGATCTGAACCCTTGACTTTGGTGGTATAACACCACACTTTAACCAACTGAACCAGCCTGCCCATATTAACCTCTTAAATGCTCCATTACCTTATCTTAAAAAAAAAAAAAAAGATAACTACTTTGTAGAATTATTGTAAGGATTAAACATAGTATGTACCCCAGAAATGATGACTATTATCCTAGACATCCTTCAATACCTGAGTTACATCAATAATTAAATCATATTCAGGTTAGTAATTTGTGTGTGTGTTGAGATTGTTAAAGGAGGATGTCAATTCTTGGCTGTTTTCCTTTGACCGATATCAATATTATTGATTTATTTGTAAAAAACAGTGTAGGAATTTCAGTTACTGTGTTCATACAGTACTACTTATGAACGTGTACTAATTCGATCAAATTGAGACCCTTCAGCAGTTATTTCCTCTCTTCAGAATGTCCTTGGAGTTTTAGGTTAATCATTGTTACACATGTCACTTACTGGATTGTTAGGTTTCTGTAAATTTTCCAAAATTGTGTGAAATCTTTTTGCTACTTATTTATTAAATATATAAATCCTTTGGGATGCTGGTTTTTATTTTTTTATTGAAGCATAATTGATTATACATATTTATGGAGTACAGAGTTGACTATCCATACTTGTGTACAGTATGTGAGGATCAAATCAGGATAATTAGCATATTCATCATTACAAAACGTAATCATTCTTTGTGTCCATTATGCAATTTCTTGATAACCTCCTCCCCCTTCCCACCTTTAGTTACCATAGTTTTGTTCTGGAAAACTTTTTTTTTGTTTTCATTTTTGTTTTTTTGACATGGGTGGCTGGTTTTCAACATAGAAGTTTTTAGTTTACTCTGAAGTATGGTTATATGAATAATAGAAAAACTATTAGAAATAATAAACTTTATCTGTTAGTAATAGGTATGATACTTCATAGAACTCAGTTTTGCTCCTCACCTAACAACTCCTGATTGATGAAACTTCAGTAACATAGGTTTAGAAATATATTAGAGGAAAAAATGTGATTATAAATTTTTTGCTTGTTTTTATGTCCTAATCATCTGTGACACTTAAAACTCTTTCCATACATTATTTGGTGCTCACAGGAACTGTTATAATGTGTGGATTCAACTGATTTAGCAAAGTCAAGTAATTTTAGAATCAGCAATTGAATCAATTACATGAGAGAGGTTTAGATTGCCAAGGCTTTTTGTAACTACTGACAATATGTTATTTTAAATGACTCTTCCACTCCATATATTTTATTTACTTATACTAGATACTAAATACCATGCTAAAGCCTGGGAATAAAAAGATAAATTCAGTGAAGCCCCTGACCCAGAGAGCTTGGTATAACAATAAGTGAAGAACCCATTGAAAGAGAGGGTGCTGAGGAAAGGGGTGCAGCATTGAACTGACTGCTGAAGAGCTAATGCTGCAGGAGGGTGTTGGCCATAGAGAAAGGCTTTTCCAAGGAGCTGGTCCTGAGCTAAAGTATGATAGGGTTTAGCCAAGAAAAAAGGGAAGGGGTTGAGAAGGGGATGGTGACTTAAGAGAGTGGGAGCTACAAGAGGCTTCTGGAAAAACATGTGCTTCACTTTGGCTGAAATGCATGGTTTGAAAAAGAGGGAAGTGGTAAATGACATCAGAGAGATTAAGGAATTTGGAGCCTAGACTTAAGGCATTAGGGAATGATGTACAGATTTTAGGCATTCATTCATTTACAAATGTTTGAATACCAACCATGTGCTAGGCATTATTCTAAATGCCAGGGACAGAGGAGTCAAGGACACAAAATCCTCTTCATAGTTTTTGTTCCACAGTGTATTAGTCCATTTCTGTTGCTTATAACAAAATAAGGAACTGGATAATTTGTAAGAAAACAAAATTTATTGCTTACAGTTGCTGAGGCTAGGAAGTTCAAAGTCCAAGAAATACAGCTGGTGATGGCCTAAGTGGTGGTGACAGTGATGGCAGGGTATGTTGTTGCAGAAAACAGTGGAGCAGAGAGATAGCTCCTCATGCACTCTCCTTTTAAAGCCCTCAGAACCATGCCCATGACCACCATTATTCATTCACTAGGGCATGGTCCTACAATCTAATCACCTCTTCAAGGCCCCACCTTTCAATTACCATAATAGGACTTCCCAGCCTCCACAGTTAACAGTGGGGATTAAGCCTCAATGAGCTTGGGGGGTGGGAGGGCATCCAGTCTATAGCACATGGGGAAGACAAGGACAGAAACGTATAGATGTAGATACAGATAACAGTTACAGATAATCAGTCAGTGGCTGATGACTCCCAAGAAAAAAAGCAAGCCAAAGACTAAAGAATAAGCTGAGAGGGAGGGTATAATTTTATATAGGGAAGGCAGAGAAGGCCTCACTAAGGAAAGGATATTTTGGCAAAATAATTATGTGGTAATTTTTCAGCCTTGCAGTTACCTGATAGGAGAGTGTTCTGGGTAGAGGAAACTCTAAGTGCAAAGGCCCTGAGGCAGGAGCATGTCATGTTCAAGGGCTAGTAAGGAGGCCAGTGAGACTGGAGTAGAGGAAGATGAGGTCAGAGAGACTGTGGAGAGCCTGATCATGTAGGGCTTAGCAGGCCTTGGAAAAACCTTGCCTATCATTGTGGATGTGATAGGAAGCTATAGGGTGGTAGAGGACTTCTCTGCATATATATGGATGGCTCCATATAGGCTCATAAAAGTCCTAACCTTTTTTCTCAGTTGTAATACTGGTCAAGGATAATTTAAAATATTTACATGAGCTATTATTTCTACTTTTCAAACTTGGAGAATGCAAATAAAAACATTATACTCTTAAAAATATTACTTGAATTTAAATTGTAGCATATGGTAGTACAGATACTTGCTAGTTCTAAATCCAAACTTTTCCAAATAATAAATGTAGATAATTACATTACTGCTTTATAAAATAATTCACCTTAGAATTTCTTTAAACTGCCCAACTTTATACTACCTTCATATTATGGTTTGGTTTTACCACAAGCACTTTCCAGGGACAAATCAATATAGGGAAATAAGATATGTCTTTGCACACAAATATGTGGTTGTGATGCAAAATTGTACCATGTGATAGCAAAAACTGCACTAAAAGTGGGAAAATAGTAAAGGAAGGGCAGCAAGATATTTAGCTGTGCACATGACAGCAACTGCAGCTGATAGCATGCCTGCGGTAATAGCGTTTAATGTTATGTATTACCATTTTTATGACTGCCTATGTTGCTATCAACTTGGTAATATTTTAAACCCAATTGAGAAGCCAACTTAGACAATATATTAGGAGTCAGACAATCTTTATGGTGATGGAACTGTTCTGTATCTTGACTGTGCTGGTGGAGCCTACACATGGGATAAAATTGAACAGCAAAATATGCACATGCACATACACAGATGAATACAAGTAAAACTGGGGAAATCTGTATTAATGTTAATATACAGGTTGTGATATCATACTGTTGTTTCACAAGATGTCGCAATTGGGGAAAACTGGTAAAGGTTACACAAGAGCTCTCTGTATTATTTTTTAGGACTGCACGTGACTCTACAATTCTTTCAGAGTTTCAGATTTAAAAAAATCAATTGTTTAAAAAAAAAGGTCAATCGCTTAGGCTAATAGCACCAAAGACTTTAGAAATGGATGACTAACGTGAGAGATCATCTAGTTCAGTGGTTCTCCAAGTGTGGCCTTAATTAGGAGTGAAAATTTTTATTCTACAAATTGCTGATTACCCAGCTATAGCAATATCTCCATCTCAAGGGAGTGTTTCACTTCAGTAGCAATTTTTGCCTAGTTATAAAAAAATCATCTCAGTGCCTTATTTAATTGACTAATTCTTTCAGCACATTTTTTGAGTGCCAACTGTGTACCAGGTACTGTGCTAAGGGAAAGAAGAGAAATAATTTCATAGTTTCCAGTTTTCAGTCAATTCACCTTCTGTTGGAAAAGTTTTTAATCACATCACTGAAATAGAGTGAGATAAGTGTTAACTGAGGCAGGTACAGAGCCATACTTGATGTTTATTAAGTACTTACTAGGGGGTAGGCACCACAATAGAAGCTTTGTATATTGATTCATTTAGTCCTCACTTCCATTGTATAGAGAAGGTTATTTAGGCTCCATAAGGTTCAATGTGTTACCCAAGGATCAAACAGTTCTGTGAAGTGATGGTGCCTGGCTTCTGCCCCAGGCCACTTTGCTGCCTTGCAGTGGGAACTCAGTTAGAGCCTTTAGAAATTTTTATTTTTAAGACAAGGCACACACTAGTAAAAATTAAGGGTTCTGTGATTAATGATTACAAAAATGGCATTGGAATTACTGTTAAATAACTGACATGAGAGCTGCCTCAAAGTCTTATTAATTCCTATCTGATCACTCAGATGTCCCTCAACACTAGCCACTATAGAAGTAACCACCTCTTTTCTCTGTTTTTACCGTATTGTTCATTCTTCTAAACAAGTTAATGTCCCTTCTTTCTTATCAAGGAAAAAACATTATGATTGTCCCTGGGTACTGTTTTTAGATATCAGAGGTATAAAGCATAGGAAAAAATGTTATTCATTTTTCAGTTCCTGTTTTAATTCAGTGGGTATAAGAAGCTGGGATGAGGGCAGGTGAATAAGATCTGTCCTGTTTTCAGGATGCTGAGCTGCATTCCTTTTCTAATTAGGACAATTATGAGGGACCAAATTGACTTTCAGTCCTCCTTTCAGTTTCAGAAATGAACATCAGAAAAGTCTTAAATATTTCTTTTTTGAAATAAATTCTGAGTATGATGTACTAGGAAAAATGAGTTTGATAGAGTATGATGTACTCTGTCAAAGGAAAATTCCTGGTATGGATACATTTCTTTTTGAAAGCATTATTTTTACTCGGAAGTTAAAAGTATTTCCATCAGAACTTGACATCTCTTCTTGAAGTTGTATTTACTAATACTCTGAGATTATGAAAGGCCACTCTAAAATCTTTTAAAATATGTTTTCCCCTTAATTAAAAACGTATAAAGTATTCATGTATGTAAGATGACTAGAAAAAATATTTTTTATATACGTATGTACATACTCATAATACCTAGTACCTATGTAGTAATATATTGACCTATATTAGAAATAATTTCTGGATATATAAAAAGATAATAGGTTATTTTATGTTTATCTGTTATCCAGATTTTATACAATGAACATAGGTTTATAATTTTAAAAAATAGTGCTCAAACCTTTAAAAACAAGAAGATACATTTAAGGTGTGGGATTCTGTGACTGTGAATTGTTATTAACAGAGTACATAGATGAAAATCTTTGAGACCAAATTTATTAATGCTTATAATATTAATTTAGGTTGGAATTTGATCGTTGGGGGTCAGTGGCCATATAAACACTTATAGGGTACAAAGAAGCAGCAAGGTGATAATTGGAATAAAAATTTAAAGATAACATAGAAGAAAGAGTAAATAATAGGATTGGTAATATTTTACAACACTATTATGGAAGGAATTATAAGAATACCATTCGTATCATTAAAACTATTATCAAAGAAAATTCAAATATATATGAAAGTACAGAGAATATTATAAGGAACCTCAGGTACTCATCACCCAGTTTCAACAATCATTCATTCAAGACCCATCTTGTTTCCTTTATAGCCCTCCTTCCCAAATACTCCTAGATTGTTTGAAAGCAAATCCTAGGCATCATATTTTATCAAGTTTATTTGCTTATGCATTATTAATGCATAAATTACTATTTGCTTAAATCAGGATCAAAATAAGGTTCATACACTGTGGCTCACAGGTTTCTTGTCTCAATCTATAGATTTTTTCATATCTTCCCCCCGCCCCGTAATTGTTTGCTTGAAGAAACTGGTTTTGCTAACTGCATTACACTGGTGTAGTTTGTGGTTCTCCATTCCCTTTGTTTCCTGAAAACTTGTAAATCCAGAAGCTTGATCAGATTTGTATTTTTGGTTTTTTTTGGCGGGAGGGTGGGGGGGGGGGGGGTGGAAAGACTGTATCACAGGTAGTATGTGACTAAATTTTATTTTAAAGCTAGTAACTCATGTAGTTTGGGACCTGATTTCTTAAAGACATCTAGGTAAATAGACTCTAGTCATAAAATATTGTGAGGCAGACAATTAGTGACTTGCCTTTCTGGAATAATGTACTAGTTAAAAAGATCTCCAGGAAACTTCTAGCATGAATCCAAATGCATAAAAGGAATTAAAAGGTATTCATAGGTCCAAGTTTACTTGCCTAAAAGGAATTGACCCTCCACGACTGCAGTGTGAACTGCAAGCTACATATTATGCTTTATAGACCTATGCTGCCTAGTATAGTAGCTTCTGGCTATTTAAATTGTTAAAATTAAATTTTAAAAACTCAGTTGTTCATTCACACTAGTTACATTTCAGGTGCTCAGTAGGCACATGTGGATAGCAGCTACCATCCTGGGTAGCACAGATAGAGAATACTTCCATCATCACAGAAAATTATCTTGGACAATCCTGTTTTAGACTCTTTGGAGAGAGATCATGGAGCCATAGACGAACTGAATGTAGTTTTCTTGGAATTCAAGTCAACCTTTAGATGTTTGGCGATAAGTTTTCTATAAATTTTATAGTTTATTTCTGTAGTGCTGCCTTTAATAGATAACTTCTCTTTTAAAACATGAATGTTGCAGGGTCATTCTTTTGTTGGAAGAAAATATGAGAAGTGTGTTTTGGACAAGTTTGTTAGAGACACCCCTCTGTCTCTCCTGTTTTATATTGTATTTCGGCTAGCGAACAAACTCATCTAGATGGCATGCTAGTAGGTGACACACAAATATAGATAAGCCCATGCAGTGAAAGTAAGGCTGGCTATGGTTGCTAGGGTAAAGTGGTAAGAAGCAAATACATGAAAGGTATCTCATAAGTTTCTTATTTTTATTACATTTTTACGAAATGATTTCATAGAGTGAAAGTTTTATAGCACAAAAAATGAGTCAGCAGAAAGAGCAAAAACATTTGACTCTCACAGACATAGAGTATTATATTAGAAGTTAATGCTGTGGAGAAATAGTCCTTTCCAAAATATACCTTTTAGCAATTCAGTTGCCTGTAAACATTAACATAATGGCTGAACTACCTACCTTCCTATTGAAGAAACAGTGTACCATTTTATTTAGTCTAAAAATACTGTACTTTAAGTGATTTGAATTGAAGTCTTCTTAACGTTTTACAGCGGAAGTGCAGAGTGAAATTGAAAGAATTTTTGAACTTGCAAGAACACTGCAATTGGTAGTCCTTGATGCAGATACTATTAATCATCCAGCTCAACTCAGTAAAACCTCTTTGGCCCCTATTATAGTATATGTAAAGATTTCTTCTCCTAAGGTAAGTAGGGTTGCTATTGTTTGTTCTATAAGCAAACTTTACTAAAATGTGTTTTATATTCTTCTGTCCAATTATAACAGGCTATATGCCCTTATGGATGTAGAGACACATTGTCAAGAATTTTTACAACTGATATAAGCAAAGCACGGTTAGTTTCATGATTTAGAATAGTGGTTCTCAAAGGGAGAATCACCTTTCTTCAGAGGGTCTGTGAAGTCAAAACAGTTTCTATGATAATACTAAGACATTATTTGTCTTTCTCACTGTTTTGACATTTGCATGGATGGTGGGTAAAACTGTTGGGTCTAAGCATGAATCAAGACTATGGTACCAAGGAGCACTAGCAATTCACTTGTCAGTTTTAAAAAAAAAAAAAGCCCATTTCACTTAAGAATGTCCTGATGAAGTAGTAAAATTTATTTATTTTATTGGATGTTGACTTTTTAGTACAAGACTTTTTAATAATCTGTGTAATGAAATAGGAAGTACACATTAAAAGTTCTTCTATCGCACACCTAAGAAAGTTATTTCAAGGAAAAGCACTGGTGTGATTGAGTTGTGAACTAAATTAGCCACTTTTTATTGAACACCATTTTTATCACAAAGAATGACTAACACACTATGCCTCTTTAGACTTGGGTATCTGGCAGATATTTTCTTGAACAAAGTGAGCCTTTCACTTCAAGGAGAACTACTACTTTTCTGATAAGATCAGTGACAATGTTAACAAATGTGATGTTTTAATAGTATATAATGAAATATGTCAATATTTGGAAGATCTGAAGAACTCAGTGAACCATTACTTTCCAAATGATCAACGAAAGATGTTACAAATCATGTATGGTAAAGGATCCCTTAAAATTTAAGACAAACCAATGGAACTTAATGTAATGGAGTAAGAAAAATTCATTAATATGGTTTCAGATTCCACATGTCTTTAAGGAACTACCACTTGTTGAGTTTCGGTACAGTATCAAAGAAAACTATCTACAATTATCTGAAAAAGCTACTAACATATTCTTCCTTTTCTCAATTACATATCTGTAGAAGGATGGAGTTTCTTTCCACATTTCAACCAAAACAATACCCTGTAGCAGACTGATTGTAGAAGCAGATAGGATACTTCAGTTGTCTTCTATGAAGCGAGATTTGCAAAAAATTGTATGTTAACACATAACAGGTTTATAGTTGGTAATATTTAAATGAACTAATGTTTTTAATATTCCACATAAACATAACCTTTAGGATTCTCAATTTTTTCTAAACTGAAAGAGGTCATGAGACAAAAAGTTTGTGAACTGCTAGCCTAGAAAAAAAGACTCAGAATAAGCTCTGTGCTAGTGTTTAAAGTTTGCAACTAAGATTTATGGTGACATGTTTATTTTGCAGATAATCTTATACATTGTACTGTATAGCTCAATCTGTTATATGCCATTTGTGCTATGTATAAAAAAGGCCCCGTATATAAAGAGGGCCTAGAAAAAGGAGTCAATGATTTACACCGTAGTTTACTTGAGAGCAGATATTCCTGTTAAAAACTGGTATCTTTTACAGGTTTTACAGAGGTTAATAAAATCTCGAGGGAAATCTCAAGCTAAACACCTCAATGTCCAGATGGTAGCAGCTGATAAACTGGCTCAGTGTCCTCCAGTAAGTTATTTCTTTTTTTTTTTTTTTTTTTCCTTTTTGTCTTTTTTTTTTTACTGACCGGTAATGGGATCGCAACCCTCGGTGTTGCACCCGCACCGCGCTCAGCCAGTGAGCGGGAACCAGTCTCCACATGGGATCCGAACCCTCGGCGGGAGCGCCTCCGCACTCCCAAGCGGCGCACTTCTCCAGTGCGCCACCGGGCCGGCCCTCCAGTAAGTTATTTCTATATAATCCAGTTGAAGAGATCAAACCTGGCATTATATTTTTTAAAATGAGCAAACAAAAACAGTTAAACACCTTTCAGGAAAGAGAATCCTCGTCACGTAAAGCGGTATTTATTCCAAAGAAGCGAACTGTCCTGCCTTCTTCCATGATCATGTGTTCTGAGCACAAGTAGTCCAAATAATGATCACAGCTTATGGAGAGCTACAGGGATCCTAGGTGACTTCACTTTGTTAATCACGGTTTCAAAAATTTGATTGGCAGATGGATCTATTTAGGGTTGATTTACCATTCACTTCTGATCATAGACAGCAAATTGCCACTCTTAATAACTGTCTGATAAAATGACTTGTGAAAAGACCCAGTTCTTCTAACCCATGCTTTATATACTATGCCTTGGGACTGTAGATCTGTTCTAGGTTATGGCTTTTTTTTCTTTTAAAGTACAACTATTTCAGAAGCTATAAGTTATGATTACATCAATTCGATTGCTTATAGTATGTTAACATTTATGATAAACACTTCTAAAAATCTTTCAAAAAGTGAGGCCTTTTTTCTTCCCTAATGAACTACTGTGAAATTTGGACCATATCAAATTATCAGTGATTTCAGCTTTCTACCAAATTTCAAGTTCTAATCTTGCCTCATTAATTTCGAAACTTTTTCACAGTTTCGGTGTCACGAACAGGCTTCTTCTTGTACTGTTCAGATTTTTATTCTTTATTGTATCTCTTTTTCTCCATAATATCAATGCTTTTTTTCACTATTGATAGGCAACTTTTCTGTACTGTCATGACCTTATGGCACCTGTCTACTTTCTGGTCATTGATATTGGTTAAGCAGGGACTCAGTCAGTCCTGGGCTGGCTTTAGTGTGCTATCTGAAATGTTTGCCTCTGCAGGAATTGTTTGATGTGATCTTGGATGAGAACCAGCTTGAGGATGCTTGTGAGCACCTTGCCGACTATCTGGAGGCCTACTGGAAGGCCACCCATCCTCCCAGCAGCAATCTCCCCAACCCTCTCCTTAGCCGTACTTTAGCCACTTCAACTCTGCCTATTAGCCCCACCTTAGCCTCTAATTCACAGGTAAGCAGACTTCATTTTTACTGTCTTCATAGAGAAATGAGGCTGCCTAAGGTAACAGCACTGGGACCCAAGCTGAGATAGCCAGTGCAGTGCTTGTTCCAGTATTCGAGCTCCATCTAAACTGAGACAAAGGTTATGAGTTAAAGTTGTGTCCCTGTATGAAAAGCAATGAAAACAGAATATACTATAACCATAAATAGACTTTAAAACTCACTAACTACATGTTCTTAAGACAGGGATAGAAGAACTGTCTACACAGCAGTGCAGACTGTCTAGATTCAAATCCTGGCTCTACCTCATATAGGGTGTAGGGCATACAACCTTGGGCAAGTTCCTTAACTACTCTTGCCTCAGAAATAATAATGGCAACCGATCTCATGTGGTGGTTGTAATTTATTGTCTCCTCTCCTGTCTTTTCTCAAGAGGTGACCTTGTAGGGTTGTTGTATTAAGGAGTTTAGTATACGTTGAAGGTCCTAGAAAAGTGCCTCTCCCATATTGTGTCATTTAAGCATTTGATATTTTTATTTTAATCTTCCCCCATGTACTCAAGCCCAGGAAATTAACTGTACACCCATGTGTAGAAACATCTTGGGGAACTGAATTTGAACCACAAGAAAACATATAAGAGAACTTCATTTTAAAAAGGAGGGTACTATGTGCACTGTTCTAGGCATTACAAATTAATGTAAAGTCCAGTTTAATATAGTACAAACCTTACTAATGCCACTGGACGTTATCAAAGGAATTAACTGAGCTAGGTTAGACTTCATTGCAGCATTTTAGATACTTAGAAAAGACTACACTTGAATGAGCTTGCTTGTGACATGTTAGTTCTTTACACACTGACCTTGGTTAATGCCTGTCTGGGCTCCTTCACTGCCAGGGTTCTCAAGGTGATCAGAGGACTGATCGCTCCGCTCCTGCCCGTTCTGCTTCCCAAGCTGAAGAAGAACCTTGCCCGGAACTAGTCAAGAAATCCCAGCACCGTTCCTCCTCCTCAGCCTCACACCACAACCATCGCAGTGGTACAAGTCGAGGCCTCTCCAGGCAAGAGACATTTGACTCAGAAACCCAGGACAGTCGAGATTCTGCCTACGTGGAACCCAAGGAAGATTATTCCCATGAACACATGGACCATTATGTCTCACACCGTGACCATAACCACAGGGATGAGACCCACGGGAGCAGTGACCACAGACACCGGGAGTCTCGGCACCGTTCTAGGGACACGGATCGAGAGCAGGACCACAATGAGTGCAACAAACAACGAAGCCGTCATAAATCCAAGGATCGCTACTGTGACAAGGACGGAGAAGTAATATCCAAAAAACGGAATGAGGCTGGGGAGTGGAACAGGGATGTTTACATCCGCCAATGACTTCTGACCTTTTTTTTTTTTTTGAAGTCTTGCATAACAGCACCCTCAAACAAAATCTTTGGGAGTCTACATTGCAATCATATGTGATCTGTCTCGTATATTTTGTATTGCTGTTGCTTAGATAGCAATAGCATGAAATAGAGTATTAAAATACTTTTTCTTTTGTAAGTGCTATATAAATTGGCCTGGTATGGCTGCAGTCCTCCGATTGTATACTGAACTCTTCAAAAACTGTTTTGGGTCGCTGCCACTTGAACAAAATTGGTTGCCATCCAGGTGATGTTAGTGTTTTAAGAAATGTAGTTCATGTATCCAGCAAGCCAGAATCAGCACGGATAAAAAGTGGAATTTCTTGTTTCTCCAGATTTTTAATACGTAGGCACCTGATTTGCATATTCATTCATTCATGGACCACTGTTTCTTGCTTGTACCTCTGGCTGACTAAATTTGGGGACAGATTCAGTCTTGCCTTACACAAAGGGGATCATAAAGTTAGAATCTATTTTCTATGTACTAGTACTGTGTACTGTATAGACAGTTTGTAAATGTTATTTCTGCAAACACCTTCTTATTATAATTATATAAAATATATATATATCAGTTTGATCACACTATTTTAGAGTCTTAATGCCAAGTCAGCAGATTTGCTTTATGAATTACAGGGAATAGAAATGCCCACATTCAGGAAATTTGTAATAACATTGTCTAGACACCTATCCCCATTCTAGTAGAAAGTCTGTACATACTGTAAATATGTGTGATTGCTTGACTTGACAAGATTCGATTTCTGAACGTTATACCATCCTTGGAAGTTTATAATCTTGACCATAAGTTATCATAAACATAACCAAACTCTAGAGGTTGTTCTACTCCATACAGTTCACACTGATTGTGACAAACACATTCTTAGTAAATAGTGTCTGTTATAGTCACTGCACTGGAGTATATGAGCCGGAACCTGCTGTCTGTGTCTGTATGTAAGAGTGTGCACGAGTGATTGGGAGAGATGAATTGGAATACTGAAGACTAATGAGAAAACTAGATACCAATATCTAGAATTCTGCCCACCTGACTTTGTATTTAATTGTGCTGTATGTTGCTTTAATAATCCATTGAGCATCAGGGAATGTGAGGAAGCTTGCTGCCAAAGGTAACTATGAAAGCATTCATCTGCTGGCTCCTTATTTTGCTCCTAGAGAGTAAAAATACAGGCAACTTTTACTGTGAGTGTTTCACTGGAAATGTACAATCTTTGTGTGTTTGAGTATTTGTTTTAGTAAGAAACGTTTACACAGCTTGTGGAATTATTCATGGGAAAATAAATTTTTATAACTTCTCCCACCTCATTTTCTAACCTTGCCTATCGTTCCTGTTTATCTCCCAGTTACCTATCACTCCTCCCCCACCACCACCTTGAACGGTTTTACTGTCAGAACCCAGAAGTGCTTCTTATAACCAAAGTTTCTGCTCTTCAGAAGTAATCAGGGCAAAATGGGGCGACTTGTAGTAAATAAAATATTAAGAATATTTTCCTACATCAGACATTTACTCTGAAGGGGAACCTAGAAGATATTATCTCCACACCTCAATCACACTGCTCTAAGACACTTAAAGTGTTATCATGTTAACGGTAAAACCTTTTCCATGTCTCAAGTGTACATTCATTTTGTCCAGTTATGACTGGATAGATAAGACAGTATCAGGTGTGCAAGTACCTAGTACCTGAAGTTTGTCCCAGGAAAATGCCTAGCTATAATTGCCTAACTTCAGATTTGTACATTAACAAAATAGTGGTTATAATTATTTTTTGTTTTGCTTCCTTGATTATTAGGTTCTTGCCAAATATTCTTAGACTTTTCCCCTTCCCCTAAGAAAACCCTAAGAATTTAAAAAATGAGTTACATATTTAGTGTTTTATCAACTAATATATGAAAAATTTTCCTTGGAATCAACTTGTTAATTAGCTCTGTACTGTCTACATAAATTTATTCTATACAAGAACAGTCATATATATTAGTTTTTGACAGAGAATTTTCACATCATTGGGAAACTATATTCCAATTAAAATTGCTTTTATAAATATTTCTGATAAACTTTTATCATGGTAAGAGACCAGTCCGATGCTTTCCTACACATTCTTTCATTACAATTAATGACTTTTGAATATTTAAATTCTTGGAGTATAACTGGTATTTATCTTACTTGATACTATCATCAATCCCTTTTAAATAGTAGTGTTAACAAATTCCACCTTTCTTTATTTTGTACCTGGATTCTTAGTTTCTCACCTTATGGTGGAACATGTTAGAACAAATCAGAGTATTCCTCAAAACACTATATTGAAGGATTTGACATAAGAGCATCTACATGTGAAAACTGTATAGTAGGCATATGTGTACACACTGTATAGTAAATTTGTAAATGAAGAAATAACCCCCAAAACAATGGGATATTTAAAAACTTGTGGAATGTAAAATTATAGTCTTTTCACACAGCAAAGGCTTAATCTTAACCTACTCAATTGTAGAATGATTTTTGTAGACAACCTAGAAAATGCTGGAAATGTGCTTAATAGTTCTACGTTCTGTCATACCCATTTCAGTTTTTCCTATGCTCTTTCTCTACTGCTCATTTAAGTTACTGTTATGAAAAGGTGCTGCTAAATGTAGGATGTCTTAGTCATATTGTACTTTGTGATAATGCCACATTTTTAACATGGTCTGCTATGCATTCCTGTTAAACAAACATTCACTGTCAGCTACACTGAACTGTTTAACAAACTTGGTTTAGTCATTCATATAAAACAAATAAAGAGCTGGCTTCTGCACTGTTTACTAGTAGTAGTATTAATTGCCATTTTCAGAATGATTCTTATAGTTAAGAATATGTTAAATGTTCAACAACACTTCCCACTTGTGGAGCATCTTCCTTAGGGGCAATGCTAATCACTTGATATTCCTTTAGTAATCTTTCCATTATGTCTTATTAAAAAATGTATACATATCAAGATAGGTAAAATTTTTTTTAAGATGTGAGCTATAGCAGAGCAACCTTCTTCCTGCCTTAATTGTACATGTGCAACAATTCTTTATATTTAGAATTTTATTCTTCCTTCACTTTTAAAGTGAAGCTCCATCTTGATGACAAATATAACTCCTCATCCTTTTCCCTCTGCTCAGTGATATACTACTACTAGTCTTGGATGCTCTCATCTTATTAAAACAACAGTCACATTGTTAGAGATGACAGGTAACTAGATGATTTGGGATCAGTTTAATTTCTGCTAAGTTATATTTGTAACTATTTGTACTTCACTTTGCTACTTAAAATGTGACAGTTTTGAAGTAAAATGTACTCAATGTTGAATTTAAATGCTTTTTTCTGCGTCACAGAAGTATTTATGTTAATATCTTTTAGCATATTTACTGTTAACTTCCCCCAAATCTCCCTGATATTTCCCTTTATATTGCATTTTTTTCTTACACTTCTGTGTCCCTTAAGATTGAGTGTTTAATTTTCCAATTTGCTTAATTTTTTTTTTAAGGAAAGAAACCCACTGAAAATTGTCTATGTTAAAGGAAAATTTTTAACAATATGCTTCTTCCTTACTGTTTTCAATATGCAAATATTTTTCTTGTTTTACTGGCATTATCATTATTATTTTTTTTTTTTTTTAAAGATGACGGGTAAGGGGATCTTAACCCTTGGCTTGGTGTTGTCAGCACCACACTCAACCAGTGAGCAAACTGGCCATCCCTATACAGGATCCGAACCCGTGGCCTTGGTGTGATCAGCACCACACTCTCCCGAGTGAGCCATGGGCCGGCCCTACATTACTTGTATTTTGTTGGTGCTGATCAAAATTTTACACCAGAACAAGTTTGTTGCTAGGTTGACTTTTCATTTTCATCCCAGCTTAGCACATAAGGCTATGCAGAAAGCATGAGAAGAAATGGATTTTGTTGAGCTTCTTTAAATATATTTAAAGTCTGAGGAGTTATGCTGAGCCCTGGAAACAGAAGGGCCACAGGTAAACAGTGTTTGTCTTTAGTCAAATGACATCTACTGGATATAAGGCAGAATGAGGGATGTAAAGATTTGAATCTTACAAAGGTTTAAATAATTTCTCTCAGTAAGCATGTATTGACTGTCTACTCTGAATCAGTGTCAGAAAGAAAAGACAGCAACTCCTCCTCTAGGATGTTTCCCAAGTTTGGGGGTGAGACTGAGGAGGCACAGCTGTAAACTTGCTGAGTGTGTTGAGTGCCAGGAGAGCAATAGATCTGGGTACCAGGTGTACAGTGAAAGAAATGCCTAAACCAACCTCAGGAAACGGTGTTCAAGAAAGGCTTTTTCAAAGAAGAGCCCTCTTACCTGATCCAAGAGACTTTGCAATCGTTGTGGATACATTAAAGAGTTATGAGAAATTCCTAAAGGCAACCTATGAGGGGGGGGAAAAAAAAAGAATCAGACTATTAGGTAATTGTTTCTCACTGTCCACTTCATATGACCAAGGCCCAGTTACTTTTGGGTGACTTGAATGAAAGCTAACAAAATAGTTTGATGTATTTAACACCACATGAGACAGCCTTTAAACTATGCCCGGGTATTGGGTATTTTAATAGATCTTATCTAAAAAGCAGGTGGAGGCTGGCTGTTTAGCTCACTTGGTTGATTGTGGTGCTGGTAAAAAGCAGGTGGAATGAAGCAAGCCTAAGGCTATAATTTTTTTAAAAAGTAGTCACTGTATTGGCCACCATAGCGGATATTTGATCATTTTTGCTGTTCGAATCATGTTTTGTCTGAGTTCAAATTTGATTATGATGTGGTCTGTTTTTGTCTTGATCTATCATAGACACAGTTCTCTTGTCTGATGGTGTTACATGAAATTGTTTATGTTCAATAGGAGAACACCAAGGCTCATTTGTAAGTGCCAGGCCTGTTCCCAGCTGGCAGAAGCTGGTTTTCTCTTTCTCACCAAGCATTTTCCGATAACTTGCATAATATGTGTTCCAATAGATGATAAAATGTACCCAAGTTGTGGAATATTCTCATTTTTAACCTACCAAGTGAATAAAATACTCATTTTACTTTTTAGTTTAAAATCATGAAAAAATTTAAACGTAGAGAATGCAAGGTATCGTTTAGAAGAGGTCCAAACATCATTTGAAAGTGGGTGATTTACCAAATAAGCAGACAAAAAAGTTAGGTAAAATACTTACCTCAGTTATTAGCACATGGTAAATGTTATACTTCTCATGCTTTGAATTCCTAAGGAACTATGACTTAGAAACTTGGGAACAGAAAAAAAATTTTTTTTTAGAACCTCATTAAATGTTGCTAATTTTATTCCTTTTGTAAGGTGCACTAATTTAACATTAAAAATGACTTGTATTCTTTACAAATTAAGACACCAAATGAAAATATGTCCCATACATCTATAGGCACCTCCTTTTCTTTATAGTCTACTAAATCCATATAGAAAAAATTCTAAAAACACAAAATATAGCCTAGAAGCAGGTAAGAGAGCACGCCTGGGGTCTTAAGCAAGGAACTGAAGGCAGTACTCCCTGCTCAAAAGCAGGTAAGAGAGCATACCAAAACACCACTTCTGCATAGGTGGCCCACCAAAGCCACAACTGCTGCAAAAAAGGCTCAATACCACAGCAGCAGCTATAGCCATTGTGCAGGCAACCCACCAGAGACTCAACTGCACTGACATAAGGGTCACCAGTGGAGACCGGGAAAAAAAAGAGTACATCTCTCTCCTCAAAGCCCGCTCCAGAGTAATAGACAAAGCAACTGCTTTACCAGTTGACCAGACATCAGTATAGAGATACTAGAACTATGAAAACCCAACAAAATAAGATGCCACCCAAAGAATACAGTAATTCTCAAATACCATGGCTGCTGAAAAAGTGGCTCAATGGCAGAGCAAAGCCACAGCCACTGTGTAGGTAGGCTGCTGGACACTCAACTGCACTGACACAGGAGAGGCACCAGCAGAGACTGGAAAAAGAGGAGGATGTTTTTCTCCTCAGAGCCCACTCCCAAGTAATAGAGCAACTTCTCTACTTGATGACCAGACATCAACATAGTGATACTAGAAATATGAAAACCCAAGACTATATGATACAACTGAAAGAATACAGTAATTCTATAGACCAGACTCTATAGAGCAAGAAACCTTTAAATGACTGAGAAGGAATTCCTAGCAATAATCTTAAGGAAACTCACTGAGATACAGGAAGACTAAATTAGACAACAATGAAATGAGAGGGAAAATAAAAAAATCCAGAATCTAAAGGAGGAAGTTTAAAAAGAGATTAATACTTTAAAAAAGAACTTAGCAGAACTCATGGAACTGAAAGATTCACTCAACAAAATGAGAAGCATTGGGGGCTGGTCCGTAGCTCACTCGGGAGAGTGTGGTGCTGTTCAGATCCTATATAGGGATGGCCAGTTAGCTCACTGGCTGAGCATGGTACTGATAACACCAATTCAAGGGTTATGATCCCCTTACCGGTCATCTTAAAAAAAAAAAAAAAAAAAAAAAAAAAAAAACACAACTATTCCTCCTCCTGCACCCAGCCAAAACTGCCACTGCCATGGGACCCACCCAGGGTCCTGAAATACAGAGCAGGGGACCAACCCCTCTCCTGCAACCAGGCACGCTGCCACTGCCATGGAGCCTACCTGGGGTCCTGAGGCACAGAGGTGAGGACCGACCCCTCCTTCCGCAACCAGGCAAGGAGCATACCAAAAACACCATTTCCATGTGACCACAGCCACCATAATAGCCATGGCTGCTGCAAAAGCAGCTAGATGCTACAACCACCATGCACATGGCCTGCCAGCCACTTGAGTGCATTGACACAAGGAGAGTCACCAGTGGAGACCAAAAAAAGAGTATGACTCTCTCTACAAAGCCCATTCTAGAGTGCTAAAAGAAGCATCTACTCTATGATAACAGTGAGGGATCTGAACACACCTCTTTCAGTACTGGACAGATCATCTTGGCAACAAATCAAAAGAGTAACTATTACTCTTTCAGAAGGAGAGAAGAAATCTAGGGATCAGAGGTAGGAGGAAGATGGGAAGGGGGAGGGAGTGGGAGAGATTGGATAAGGGGCACAAAGAATAAGTATGATTTGTAATAATATATATGCTAATAATATTGATTTGATCAACATACATCAACACTGAACCCTGAAAATATGTATAATCAATTTTGATGCAACAAAAATTTTTTTTTAATAATATAAAATTTGATGAAAAGTGAAAACAAAAAGCACAACCGATAGCTTAAGTGGCAGGCTAGAACAAGCAGACAAAAGAATTTCTGATCTTGAAGATAGTCTTTTTGAAATAACCCAGGTGAACAAAAAACAAGGAAAAATAATTTTAATAAATGAAGAAAATTTAAGAGAGCTAGCAGACAACCTTAAGTGCACAAACATTCAAATCATGGTTGTTCCAGAAGGGGAGCAGAAAGGAAAACCTATTCAACAAAATAATGGAAAACTTCCCAGGTATAGGGAGAGACATAGATCATCGGGTCTAGGTGGTTCAAAGATCCCCAGACAGATTCAACCCAAAAAGATCCTCTCCAGGACACATTATAGTCAAGTTGGCAAAGCTCAAAGACAAAGAGAGACTCTTAAAAGAAGCAAGCGAAAAGTGTCAAGTCACCTATAAGGGAGCGTCTATCAGACTAACAGCAGACTTCTCAACAGAAACTCTGCAGGCCAGAAGAAAATGGGATGAAATATTCAAAATACTAAAAGAAAAAACTGACAGCCAAGAATACTATACCCAGAAAGGCTATCCTTCAGAAATGAGGGAGAAAGTGTATTTTTCAGTTATCACCATACAACTAGCCCTACAAGAAATTCTCAAGGAAGTCCTGCATCTGGAATCCGAAAAATGATAATCACTACTGTACACAAGAAAGAACAAAACCCACTGATAGAATAAAAATGGAAATGAAAAAGAGAAACTAAATCTTACCATCACAAAAATCCATAATGACAATGTAATAATGCCTTGCTTTATTTCTGATTTTAGTAATTTTGGTCTTTTTTCTTGGTTAGTCTAGATAAAGGTTGGCAAATTTTGCTGATCTTTTTAATGAATCAACTTTTAGTTTTGATTTTCTCTATTGTTTTTTAATTCTCTATTTCATATGTTTCAGTTGTAATCATTGTTATTTCTTACATTTGCTTTTGGTTTAGTTTGCTCTTTTTCTATTTTCTTTTTTTTGGTCCTTTTTGAGACCGGCGGCACCACGCTCAGCCAGTGAGCGCACTGGTAATCCCTATATAGGATCCGAACCCGCGGTGGGAGCGCTGCTGCGCTCCCAGCGCCGCACTCTCCTGAGTGCGCCACGGGCTTGGCCCTTTTCTATTTTCTTAAAGTAGAAGTTTACATTACTAATTTGAGATTTTTCTTATTTTTAATATAGGTGTTTACAAGTATAAATTTTCCTCTAAGCACTATATGAGCTCTCAATCCTATAAGTTTTGGTATGTTGTGCTTTGATCTTTGTCTCAAAGTATTCTCTCATTTCCCTGTGATTTTTCTTTTGACCCATTATTTATTTAGGACAGTGTTGTTCAATTTCCACACACCTGTGAGTTTTCTAAATTTCCTTGTTATTGTGGTCAGAGAACATATTTCTTAGCCTTTAAAAAAAAAAAAAATTAACAAATCAAAAAAAGTTTATGGAAAGATTTCCATTATCTTTCAATTCTATTTTTCCACGAACTTTTTGAGGTGCCCTTGTGTTTATATTGTTTTATTGATTTTTTTATGCAATTTATGTTGCTAAACTTAGATATTTCTGTTCTTTTTTTTTCATTAAGTGGACTTGTTGATTTGCTTAGAAATTAATTTGCCTTTGAAAAGTTTATTCATCTTCTGTTGAAATTAATTTGAATTTGCATAGTTTTAGAAGACTTAAGAGAAATATTTCAAATACTTGTAGAGATTATCAAATGAAATATGTAAATTTTAATAAGCTTTATATCTCCAGTTTTTGTGAAAATTCAAAACCCTATTTTCTAGAGTATTTCGTTATTATCTATTTGTTATTTGAACAAATAAATGTGCATATCTTTAAAACACACATACACACACAAAATATAATCTCATACCACCTCCTACTTCCTGAATGTCTCTCAGTCCCTGATGAAACAGCTGACAGCCTTTTCCGTTTCCTTAGCAACCATGCCATCACTCAGTTGGCATGACAACACTTTGGTTTAAAACATACACACAAACAGCACGTTTGGAATTTTCATTTCTGAACATCCTTCTCCTTTGTGCTTTTGCATTTTACAAATTTTGCAATAAAAAAACCTATACAGTCCTTGTTTGCCAGCCAAATCATGTCTTCTATTCTGGCATCTTGTAGAGAATCAATGTGAGTGTCCTGTAATGGTACAACAGATGGATCAAATCGCTGCAGCTGTTTCAATTGTTCAAATGTTAGGCCAGCTCCCATCATTCCTTCTCCTCCAATCTGTGGTTCCTGTTTGGAGAAAATGAATAAATATGGATGAACCTCCTATAATTAGTAAGTACGCCTGGTACAATTCAAGTTAAAATAGAAAAATGAGTGAATACCTTTTATTTTTATGGAATGTACATGCTATTTTCTGGGTAGTAAAGCGAGAAAACAGTACCATATGGTCACCTGATGAATGAGCACCTATTATGTCCTGTATGCTTGTTATCAAGTTCTGTAACATTACAAATGGCCTAACTTCATAGCTAGAAACCCATGGACTCAAATTGCAGCTCTGTCACACTGTAGTTGTGTGACCTTAGCAAGTAACTTTACCTAACCCTATTTCCTCATCTACAAAACAGATAAAATACTCTGTTCTAAGGCTTAAATAAAGAAGGTACTATCATGCCTGGCATACGGTGGGCACTCAGTGAATAGAACACTATTATCAATAATGCAATAGATAAAATTCAGCTTTATTTATCTCCCTCCAAAACTGAGAGGAGTTCCCTAGGTATCCAAGATGCCTCTCTCTGACGCATACCAATTGGATGATAAAAGTTTTCTTTTTCTTGTTTTTACATGTACTAGAAAAGCATGTACTAGAAAAGGATACATAAATTAAGGCTGCATCAATTAGTTCAGAAGAATATAGAATCGTAAGGAATTGCGTGATACTTGCAAACCACTACTGCCAAAAATCCATAATCCTAACTTAAGTCACCATTTCACAGACAAATGTTTATGTTAATTAAGACAGGTTTTCAGATATACACTTAAGGAAACATTATTATCCCATGGGGTGAGGGGAATACATTTGAGTGTGTGTGTGTTTACTTCCAAGTGAATTCTGGAGTCTTTCTTTCCTCTACAATGTAATTAATTTCTGAGTCTACAAACCATCTCTGGATTCTTATTTGTATATTCCAATTACCTACTACAATTCTGTATAGGAAGGTACTAAAGTTATATGTTCAATGTATCTGAATGAATGTGAGCATTATTAGAGATTTAAACTTAATCTCAAACATCATAGGCTAAAAATAGAATCATAAATACAGTCTTTAAAAAAAAACAAACAACTTTTTGGAAACAAAGTACAGAGTAACATGAACAATAGCTACAAATGGAATAAACATAAACAAACATACACCCAAGCTCTTGTCAAGGAGGAAGACAGGGAAAAACTTGGTCTGGGCATGCATATTCTCTACTGACAGTCTAAATGGTCAATTAGAAAAACATTCTTGTTGGGCCGAGCCCGTGGCGCACTCGGAAGAGTGCGGCGCTGGGAGCGAAGCGACGCTGCCACCGCGGGTTCGGATCCTATATAGGAATGGCCTGTGCGCTCACTGGCTGAGCACGGTGTGGGCGACACCACACCAAGGGTTGCGATCCCCTTACCGGTCACGAAAAAGACAAAAAAAGAAAAACATTCTTGTTGATTATAGTATTTGTTTCAGAAGTCTTAGTTGACATATGTCTTCATATAACCTCATGTGTTTATCAGATTTCATTGAGAAAAATGAAACTACTCTTACCTGGGGCTGAAGCTGAATGCAAGGAAATGTTGTGAGGGCCCAGGCAACGTGTTCTTCATTTTCTGCCAGTGTTACAGTGCATGTGCTATAAACCAGCACACCCCCTGGCTTCAGCAGCTGCACTGCCTAAAGAAAACTGTGATCAGACCATGTATACTGCAAGACCAAATAAACATCTGAAGGTATTTTACAACATAACGTATGATATCTTTCAAGTGTTTGAGATAAAATGATGTTCTATATGATCAGGATTCCTTCTCTAATTAGAACACATAAGAGCAGGGCCGGCCTGGTGGCGCACTGGATAGTGCGCTGCTTGGGAAGCGCGGCGGCGCTCCCGCCCGAGGGTTCGGATCCCACATACAGACCGGTTCCCGCTCGCTGGCTGAGCGAGGCGCGGGGGCAATGCCGAGGGTTGCGATCCCGTTGCCGGTCCCCGGTCCGGTACGGGGGCAACACTGAGGGTTGCGATCCGTTGCCGGACACGGAAAAAAGACAAAAAAAAAAAAAAAAAAAAGAACACATAAGAGCAATACTTGCATTCCAGACTAGATACATTTTGTTATCTTGGAGCTGTCATACTCCATATGGACCAAGACTGCCAAATACGATCAATCGTTCAGTTTCATGCCTTTAGTTACATCAGTTTTATGCCAGAAACCTACAAATTTACATTTTTAGGCCAGAACTTTTCTGAATTCCATACTCAAATATTCAATTGCCTTCTCCACATTTTTACTATCTAATTTAACACGTTCCAACATGAACTCTTATCTTCCCTTTGAAACCTATTGCAGAAATCTTCCCGACCTTCCAGATGTTCAGGCCCCAAACCTTAGATGAACCTTTATGCCTCTCTTTCTCTCACATACCCAATCCATCAGCAAATCCTACTGGCTCTACCTTCAAGAAATCCAGAATTTTCTCACTTCTCACCAATTCCACTGCTATTATTCTGGTCCCAGCCTCTTTATCTTTTGCCTGGGTTTTTGCCTTGTAATATACTAAATAACTTATTTTTGTTTCCCTCCCCAGTTAGAAAAGAGTAAGGCCATGAACTGTTTGTCTGCTTTTTCAGTACCGTATTGCCAACATCTAGAACAGTGTCTTGCAGATGGTAGGTACTCAATGAATATGTGTAAAGTAAATAAATGAAGCAGGAAATAAGGGGCTATGCTAAAATGAATTTTTCTGAAATAACTAAAGTTTGGTTTTTTTTTAATTCCCAGATTTTATCTTTTAATTTTAATGAAAACCTTTTTAAAATATATACTATATAGTTGTGATTTCTTAGTCAGAGTACAGGGATCAAAACTGAAACTTTGTTACTATGTGCCAGTTACTGTGTTAAACTCTTTAAATGGATATTCTCAATAAATCCTTATAACAACCATGAGGTAAGGTTACTATCACCAGTGAAGTATCCCTGTTTGGTAGAGTTGTCCCTATTTCTCAGATATGGAAACCAATGTGCCTAAAGTCACTCATGTGGAAGAGCCATGGCTCAAGTCAATATGTGTCTGATTCTAAAGTCCATTTTCTTAATAAATTTCTAGCCATGCCACATGGCACACTTGCTAGGCTCTTAAGTTCTCTCATACACTATCATCTTTTCCTTTCTGTTGAGCTCATGCATCTTACTCTTAGTACCATTTTTAAATTTCCTTTTTGCTGTGACCTAAAAAGAACAAAAAACCAAGTCGCTGAAAGCAGAGCAGTATCCTAATTTTACCCTCAAGTCAAAGTCGTTTTCAGCTATAAGTAAAGCTTCTTTTTTGTTGCTTGCGGTTTTAACTCCAAGGATGTATTCTTTGAAGACTTCACAGAAAAAGAAGTTAAATAATCTACAACCAGTGCTACTGTTGTGTATGAAAGGAGACTCCAGGAAAGATGAACAGAAATGTACTCAAAGATAACTTTAGAGACTAAATAATTTTAGTATATCCATTGTTGCTACAGCCTATGTATTTATAATTGGAGGGCTGAGAGAAAATAATGAATTCATCTTTGATCAAATGCTGTCCATACATACTCTGTGAAATCCGCTGAGTCATTTTTGTAAGATAGAGAGAAACTGTCGAATGTTCTATCTGGGATTCTTCTGAAACATACTGCAGACAAGTTAAATTTGTGAAGTTTTTATTGCTTTTCTATATCCTACATGAGACACTGTCACTTCCCCTTTTTATCAATGTGTTTGCCTCTATTAAAGTTCCTACTCCTAATCTGCTACTTAAGATGACCCAGGAGCCTTATTTAAAAAAAAAAAAAAAGTAATTTTATGTCTAACTGCTCACATCAATTAGTAACTATATGTGAGCAACTCAGTGATTCTTTTTTTTTTTAAGATAGCGCAGAATGTTTGAAATTCATTAAATGTCCCAGTGAAGAAATTCTATTATTGCCTATGTATCTTAAAGGGTGAGTCAACATAGAGGTAAGCTCCCTATATTTAAAACTGGGTCTTCTCAGTCTTTTGTGTGCACGTGTGTGTGTAAATATATACAACATAAAATTTATCACTTTACCCATTTTTAAGTGTACAATTCAATGGTATTCAGTACATTTCTACTGTGGTGCAACCATCACCACAATCCATTTCCAGAACTTTTTCACCATCCCAAACTGAAACTCTACATGCATTAAACCATAACTCCCCATTCTAGGTAACCTCTATTCTACTTTCTGTCTCTATGAATTGCCTATTCTAGTTACCTCATAGAAGTGGAATCATATAGTAGTTTACCTTGTGTGTCTGGTTCATATCACTTAGCATGATGTTTTCAAGGTTAATCTATGTTGTAGATGTATCAGAAATGCATTCCTTTTTAAAGCTGAATAATTTTCCATATATGAATACACTGCATTTTATTTACCCATTTATCTGTCAGTGGACTCTTGGGTTGTTTCCACCTTTGGGCTATTGTGAATTATACTGCTATAAACATTGCTCTCGGTGGTTTAAACATCATACTAGCAAAGGTCAACTTTCTTTCATAGCAAAGGATCATCACATACCACAGTAAAGAGTTTCCGCTGTAATGGTTGATATGATGTCACTTCCTTCAAAGTCCAAGTACAAGCCATGTTTGGTCTCTGTCCCATTCCACTACAGGGTGCATCCAGAAGAATTCGATCAAAAGATTCTGGTAAGAATGGAGGTTCACCTATAAAGAGAATTATAAATGTTATTTGCTATCTGCCTTATTAGTCTAGAATAGAAAACTCTTGAGATGGAAGCAATGATCAGGAATTTAAAATCATAATCTGAAATGGAAAATAAAAACAATTTCTCCCTTCAATCAAGTAGCTGATTAAACTAATTCTGACGTATTTAATATAGAGTTGACTTTTAGGAAGGTTAAAAATGTGGTTATTATAGTTGGTGGTTATTCTGTTGATATAGTACAAACCACAGCCTAATCAAGCAACTTCAGATGCTACAATTCATCAGAGCTAGGACCTGGAAAGAATTCTAGTTATTTTGGAAAATGATACTTCTCTTGGTAATTCCTACTGCAGACAGCCTCAGAAAAACAGAGAGCCTGTTAGGTTGTAAGTAAATATATTGGTTCTGGGTCTGTTGTCCCCCCATCTCCTTGTTTCTGTGGCCATCAGTATGGCTATGGTCTAGAATCAGTCATATACCCCACTGGATTCAATCTTCTACCAAGTCCTCCTTTGCAATCACTTGAATAACTTTCTCCACTCCAACTTCTGATCTAGTTAGTGTTACTGGAGAAAGTCATGAAACCAAATGGTCTGCTTATACATTTATGCTATCTACCTCCAAAAAAGATAATGCTGCTGATTGCTTATATATAAAGCTAGCTGAGGGCTGGCCTGTTAGTTTAGTTGGTTAGAGCGAGGTGCTGGTAACACCACCAAGGTCAATCACTGTATTGGCCAGCCACCAAAAAAGAAAATGAAAAAAAAAAAAAAAGCTAGCTGATTTCTTATAAGACACACAGCAGTCCAATGTTCCAAATTTTCTCCCAACATCACCTTCTACCTTTCTGATTGCAATGCTGTTAGCCACAGCTATTATCAATTTAACTCACCTCCATCTTTAAACACCTTTGTTTTCTTACCTACTGTCTTAGAAGAAATTCTTTTCAAAGTAAGCAATTGTTTTTAAGATTTGACACCTAGAAAGACTATACCAATTTTCACTTTCATTATCATGAGTGTACTTATTTTCCCAAAATCTCCTCAAAGCCAATTTTTATTTTATCGGCCATTTGTATTTTTTCTTTACATGGACACATTCTTTGTCGTTGTCCTTTTTCTATTGGGACTATTGTCTTTTTCTAATTGATTAGAAGAGCTCTATGTATATTAAAGATATTAATCTTTCTTATATATTTTATATTTTTCACTATCTGTCATCTTTTTTTTTTTTTTACATACATAAATGTTGAGTATAAAATGTACCTTCGTTGGTGAGTTCTATCTTTGCTTTCACTCTTTAAAATCTTGTGAAATCAGGTAAATGCTCAGCTATATCTGCTTCTGGTTATTCTCATGGTTTAACTCAACACTAAACTTTTTAATCCATATTGAACTTATTTTTGTGTACAGTCCTTTTTCCTCTCTGTCCAAAAAAAAAAAAAAAAAAAAAAACCAAAATATCAATTCAGAGCTATTTATTGACTAACTTACTCTTTCTTCCAGGTTTGAAATGCTACTTTTATCACATATGGAATTCTTGTATATACTTGGACCTACTTCATGTGTTCCTGTTCTGCTCCAGAATATGCTAGTAATTAAGCTATTTTTTCTGAGCTCCAAAACTACCCTCTTACATACTCTGCTGTGTGATGCTGAGGTGGTAACTCTGCACAGTACAATCCTCCTTTGCCTGCTGGCTTCAAGAGTCACCAATAAAAGGCACAGGAGTGAGTGGGGGTGGAAGGGGGGGATGAGAGAGAACAGACTTTGTCCTTCAATGTTTACTTGGAGTTCCTGTCAAACTGTCCCAACAATAGCCCTTTCACTTGGCTTCAGTAGTTTCCAGTCTTCTCCCTTAAGTACCAATATGAAGTAGACACAGCCCCCTCTCCCTGAGAGGTCCAAGTCCCAGCTCTAGAAGGTGCCCTGCTCTGGGTCTGGAGAAATAAGCAGCAGCTAGGCAGAACCTGGTTCCATAAGTGTTTTGAAGCCCAGCTCTACAGAGCCTCTACTCTAAGCTTTTTGGCCCTGGTAAGGGGCCCCTCTCTCTGTTTTTCAGCAATTGAAAGGGCTACTCCCCCTGTGCTCACTAGCTTCACACTGCTGCAGTGCCCTCCTTTTGCTTTTACAGCTCTCCAACATCCATTCAACCTATACCTAGTTCCTTATACTGTTTATTTATATAAATTGTCTCTCTAATACAAATTTATACTAAATTCTCTCTACTGTGGAGTTTTTGTTTTTTTCTTTTTAATCTTGTGGCCAGATGAATTCCTCTAAAACACTGCTCTCAACAATTCCCAAAAGGTCAGGAAATCCGCAAGCCCAAAGGTACATTTGTACAAACTAGAATAAGCATTAACAGAGTCCTGTACCATGAGGAACAAACCATGGCTGGATTTCAGCCCTGTTGAAGGAGTGGGAATGCCTAATTTCCACACTCACCACTCCTAACATGCACCATTTTCACTGAAGGTACTGGGTGATTATGTAGACATTAAATTAAGAAATTACTATAAATATTCTGGACCTTTCTTAGAACAGACCAAGATCACCAAACAGACCCCCATATGTATCTGCCACAAGTGAAACTTGTCTTATTCAAAACCAGAAAGGGGGCCGGCCCGTGGCTCACTTGGGAGAGTGCGGTGCTGGTAACACCAAGGCCATGGGTTCGGATCCTATATAGGGATGGCCGGTTCGCTCACTGGCTGAGCGTGGTGCTGACAAAACCAGAAAGGCATGAGATAAACTCTAAGGGTTATCTGTAGTATAAGAATACCCAAATTTTTGTTTATTAAAAGCTTTTTCACATAATATGTAATTGCTGTGGATTGACTGAATTGTGTCTCCCAAAGTTCATATATTAAAAACTTAATTCCCAGTGTAATTGTTGAGGGTAAGAAATCCTATTACGGTAATTGAAAGGTGGGGCCCTGAGGAGGTGATTAGATTATAGGACTATGCCACAGTGAGTGGATTAATAATGGTGATCAGGGGCATGGTTCTGAGGGCTTTAAAAGGAAAGCATGTGAGCGTCTCTCTGCTCTGCCATTTTCCGTCATGTGAGACCCCTGCATTGCTGTAAAGCCACCACCAAGAAGATCCTCACAGATGTGTCCCCCAGACACTGGACTTCCCAGCTTCTGAAACTGTTATGCAATAAATTTTGTTTTCTTATAAATCGCCCAGTTCCAAGTATTTTGTTATAAGCAACAGAAACGGACTAAGTAACTACACTTAAAGACCTCTGAAACTACATTACTTTGGGGTAGTGTATAATTTAGAAGCAATTTTCCAGCTGCTGCCACACCACCATCATTCTCTAACGCCAGCGCTGCCTCTCGCTCACCGAGCTCCAGCCCGAGGAGAAGGGTGGTAATTAAGGAGGTCTCTGTACCATGACTCCTACAAAGCAGACTGCCCGCAAATTGACTGGTGGTAAAGCACCCAGGAAACAACTGGCTACAAAAGCCACTCACAAGAGTGCACCCTCTACTGGAAGGGTGAAAAAACCTCATTGTTACAGGCCTGGTACTGTGGCACTCCGTGAAATTAGATGTTATCAGAAGTCCACTGAATTTCTGATTCACAAACACCCCTTCCAGCATATGGTGCAAGAAGTTTCTCAGGACTTCAAAACAGATCTGCACTTCCAGAGCGCAGCTATTGGTGCTTTGCAGGAGGCAAGTGAGGCCTATCTGGTTGGCCTTTTTGAAGACACCAACCTGTGTGCTATCCATGCCAAACGTACAACAATTATGCCAAAAGACATCCAGCTAGCACGCCACATTCGTGGAGAACAGGCTTAAGAATCCACTATGACGGGAAACATTTCATTCTCAAAAAATTTCTCTTCTTCCTGTTACCGGTAGTTCTGAACGTTAGATATTTTTTTTCCATGGGGTCAAAAGGAACATAAGCATATGATTACAAGTGGAAAAATAGGGGACAGAAATCAGGTATAGGCAGTTTTTCCATTTTCATTTGTGTGGGAATTTTTAATATAAATGCAGGGATGTAAAGCATTAATGCAAGTCAAAATGTTTCAGTGAACAAGCTTCAGCAGTTCAACTTTATAACAATTATAAATAAACCTGTTAAATTTTTCTGGACGAAAAAAAAAGAAGGAATTTACTGTTAAAAATAAGTGAGATTGAAATGTTTTCTGGAATAAGGGCATGAGGAGCTCTTCAGACCCTCTCCCCAATGAAAAAACAAAACTACTATTTAACATCTCTGAAAAAGGCCCTAAGGGCATATAGCAAATGAAGAAACATTTAATCCAAGAACTACTACATCTCCTTAAGAACCGTGAGAATCTGGCACTTGATCCATGACTCACTCTTTCCACCTCCTTCCCCCTTCAAGAGCCTCTCCCCTCCCTAAGGCTCAGAGTGAAAGATACACTTCTTGTGGGTGCAGCCAAGAACACATGCTCCCTCCCTCCTTAAGCTCCCAGTCAAGAAATGTAAGGAGTGTAGCATCTCACTGGGAGGGGCAGGCTTGTCAGCATTGGTCATGTGCCCCAGCTCCACATTGTGCAGGCAACAAAAGCAAAAACAGACAAATGGGATTGCATAAAACTAAAAAGCTTCTGCACAGCAGAGGAAACAATTAACAAGATGAAGACACAACCTACAGGATGGGAGAAAATATTTGTAAACTATACATCTGATAAGGTGTTAATATCCAAAATGTATAAGAAATGAAAACTACTCAACAGCAAGAAAACCCAATTTTAGAAAGAGCAAAGGATCTGAATAAACATTTCTCAAAATACATACATACAAATGGTCAACAGGTACATGAAAAATGTTCAATACCACTAATCATCAGTGATACGCAAATTAAACCCACAATGAGATATCACCTCACACCTGTTAGGATGGCTATTATCAAAAAAACAAAAGATAAGTGTTTGTGAATATGTGGAGGAAAAGGGAACCCTTGTACACTGTTGGTAAGAATGTAAATTAGGGCAGCCATTACGGAAAATGATATGAAGGTTCCTCAAAAAATTAAAAATAGAACTACCACATGATCCAGCAATCTCATTACTGGGTATATATCCAAAGGAATTGAAATTTGTATGTTAAAGAGACATTTGCACTCCCATGTTCATTGTAACATTATTCACAATAGCCGAGATATGGGATCAACCCAGATGTCCATCAGATGAATGGATAAAGAAAACATGGTGTGTAAATATATGTATACACAGACACCCAATGGAATACTATGTAGCCTTTAAAAAAGGAAATTCTGTCATTTCCAACAACATGGATCAACCTGGAGGACCTTATGCTAAGTGAAATGAGCCGGGCACCAGAAGATAAATATTGCATAATCTCACTTACGTGTGAAATCTAAAAAAGTTGAACTCAGAAAGAAAGTGAGTAGAATAGTGGTTACCAGAGGCTGGGGGAGAGGGAAGGGAATGGGGAGATGCTTTTCAAAGGAAATAAAGTTTCAGTAAGACAGGAGAAATAAGGTTCTGAGATCTATTACACAGCATGGTGACTATAGTTAATAATGCATTTTATACTCCAAAATTGCTAGGATACTAAATTCCAAACGTTTTATACCACAAAAAATAAATGAGGTGATGCATATGTTATTTTGTTTGTTTTAACTACTTGATATTGTATACATATATCAAAACAACACATTGTATCTTATAAATATATACAATAATAATTTGTCAATTAACCTGCACTCCCATGTATATTGCAGCTCTATTTAGAACAGCGAAAATATAGAACCAACCTAAATGTCCATCAAGGGGCAACTGGATAAGGAAAATGTGGTGTATATACACAATGGAATACCACTCAGCCATAAAAAAATAATGAAATTCTGCCATTTGCAGCAACATGGATGAGCTTGGAGAAAATTATGTTAAGTGAAATAAGCCAGGCACAGAGAGAAAAATACCGCCTGTCCTCATAAGTGGGAGCTAAGAAACAAAGAAAGACCATAATAAAACGAACTTTCAGAAGAAGAGAACAGACCTATAGCTACTAGAGGTGGGAAACAGAGATAGGGAGTAATTCATAAGGGACACAAAAAGTAATTATGATTTGTAATAATGAACATGTTAATAATATTGTCTTGATCATCACATACTATACACAAATACTGATAGTCAACTCTGTACCCCATAAATATGTATAAATAAAATTTTAAAAATAATAATAAACAGAAAAATTAACTCACCTTCTGTGTTCTGAACCGTATCAAGTTTAACCGCCTTTGTTCCATCAAAGCAAAATGCCCTGATGGAATTCAGCCCTAACAATAAAGCATTCTGCTTTATTTTTTCTACTTTGTTGGGTATTTTATCCAGTGCTATTACTTCTCCCTAAAAAAAAAACAAAAACAAAAACAAACAAAAATAAAGTGTAAATCCAAAGCACTCATGAAAATTAATAATGAGAAAAAACAGTGGAAAATTATGGTTTGTCTTCCCCACTTTCCTCCCATCCCTACTTTTAAAGCTGAATTCATTAATTAAATTCATGTTAAACACTTAAGTTTTTCCTTTTTAAAAAACACATTCTTGCCAGAAAATTAATCTCTTATAATGGCTAGCTTATAATTAACAAAACTTGAAATCGAAAATAGCATTTGCAATCTTCTAAATAAACTTAAAAAACATCGATTGGCATTAAAAATCTCCAATTTCATTTGCCTTGCTCACCTCTGGAAGAGCAGAAACTAATGCTATGAGACATCTACCTTAAAGTGATTTGAGATGCAAATGAACGTTACTCGTAAAATCAGTCCTCATTTTAATATTTTGGGGCTATACACATAAAATTCCTGTGAATTCTGTGAACTAAAGCCAGAAAAATATGAGCCAAAGCCTCTATCATAGAAAAATGTTCTAGAATGGAATAAAAAGCAGTTCAAAAATAATTGTATATGGTAGCACATTGGTTAAATCAAAGTTAATAAACAGGCCACAATTTTGAGAATGCATTATGACATTCATATAATGTACTATGCTATACAATGTACATGTACTATAAAATGATATTGCAGAGATGGTGGGATTGACTCTTCTATATATTTTACAGTTTTTGCTTCTTGTATATATACTGTCCTTTTGTGATACATGTATCAATGGCAAAGACTGCAATACAGAAAATTTGCTGATGTTTCTAAGTGCCATCAGGTTTAGTGGTAGCCACTGTTTCCATTAATAGCTTAACAAACAGAAAAACCAAGTAAAGTGGAAAAGTAGCCCAAAACAACCAGAATAAGGACTTATCTCACTTCTCTCTTTGATTCCTCTTCGAGTCTCAAACCACATAAGCATTTATACTCACCAAAACTGTTCATGACAAGGTCCCCAATATCCTACATGTTGCTAAATCCAGTGACAGCTGTTAATACTCTTCTTAGCTTATCAACAACATTTGACATGGTTGATCTTACCATCTTCTTTTAATCCCTTTATTCACATGGCTTCCAGGACATCACACTCCTCTGGTTTTCCTCCTACATCATTGGCCATTCCTCCTAATTTCCCCAGCCTCTGACTGTTGGTGTTAAGTACCCATGAGGCTCACTCTTCAGACCTCCTCTACTTTCTCCTTCCACCCACCATCAGCTTTATGGCTTTACCTATCATCTCTATGTTGATGACTTCCAAATTTATATCTCCAACCCAGAGCTGTCCCCTGGACTTTAGCCTCATATATCCAATTGCCTGCTCAATTTATATTCTTGAATGTCTAGACAACTTATTTTAATATATGCAAAACTAAATTTCTGATTTTTCCCTGTAAAACTTGCTCCTCCTACAGTCATACCTATCCAGCAGCAACTCCACCCTTCCACGTCCTTGGGCCTGAAACCTTAAGAGACATCTCTGAATATCCTCTCACTTTCATAACCCACATCCAATCTATCAGCATCTCCTTTTACCTTAAGAACATCTCCAGCATCTGACCACTTCTTATCACCTCCTCTACTTTTCCCAGAACTACAGTTTCCTAACTGGTCTCTCTGCTTCTACCTTTTGTTCTCAATTTGGAGCCACAGTGATAATTTAAATAGGAAGTAGGCTTATGTCACTCTTCTGCTCTAAAATCTCCACTGACTACCAATCACCATGAGTAAAACCAGAGTCCTATCAGACCCTAAAACGCAGATCTGCCCAAACATCCTCCCCACCTTCCACCTTTCTTTCCTTCCTACTCTCCTCCTCACTTAGTCTGCTTCAGCAAACTTACTGAGGTGCCTCAAACGCATCAGGTACCCTCTCACCTCAGGGCATTTACACTTATTGTTTCCTCTACCTAGAACATTCTTTCCACAGACCTCCAAATTGCTCATCACATTTAAGTCTTTCTTTAAATATTACCTTCACAGAGTGCACCCTTCCTTTCAATACTATTTAAAACAGCAAACTCATTCCCCTTCCCTCCGTAGTCCTATTCCCCTAATCCTTCTGTATTTTTCACCACAGCTCTTATCACAATCATATATGCCATATCTTTTATTCATTTGTTTGTTTATTATATGTCTCCTGTCACTAGAATGTAAGCTCCATAAAGATGGAAATTTTGGTCACTAAGGTTCAGTTCCCAGTACCTGGCACATAGTAAGTACTAAATAAATAGTTGATCAGTCAATCAATAAATCAAAATCTGACTCTAAATCAAGGAAACAATTATTGGTGAAGATACTAGCATGTGTAAGGATTTTAGCAAACATTTAGTTTTACTGAATTTGACATAAACAGGCAAGGCAGCATGAACTTGCCACATCCTTCTTCAATTGAATAGAATGGTTACAAGGCCATAATGAGTTTTGACCACAAATAAAAACAGTGCATAATAAAAGAAACAACTTTGGCAAATATATGTACATAACAAAGAGCAGTAAAATCTGAGCTAAACTCATCTAAAGACAGACTTACTCTTATTTTGTGACAATAAAGTAGGCTTTATAATTAAGCCATTTGTTTAGGTTTATATGACTCTTAAGATAAACACCCCCCCATATATGTGTGTATATATGTTTATTAGTGTGTTGTATATCAATGTGTGATTATATATCAACATATACATATATTTCAACACTTTGAGAATGTACTGTCAAACTAATTTTTAGTGGCAGAATTTAATAGTTTAAGCAAGTGCAAAAATCTTACAATTAAAAACAAGATCTCATAAATATATAAACTTCATTTTATGAGGGAAGAATTCTATAATTGTATTAGCAAATTGGGGATTCAAGAAAGTTGAGACAGTCTTCACAAATCATAATTGTCTACTGAACTTAATTTTTGGTGACTGACATAATTGAACAGTCTTTGGCTGAATCTGAAATAAATCAGATTATAAATATTTGTATGTTTTATAAGTTGCATATAGTTTTCTCTTTACCACTGAAACATACTGTATGTTGAGAGCAGTTTTATTGTGAAGACAGTCTCACCTGATCATGCATTAGCACTGCAATGTGTGTTGTTTTGCCTCCAGGCGCTGCACACAAATCTAGAATCTTCTCTCCAGGCTGAGGATTCAGAACATGAGTTACTACAGCAGATGGCAAATTCTATAAGTGAAAAAATGCAATCTATTACCAATGATTCTAAAACAATTTTAATTAGAAACAGAGAATGTAAACAAACCTTTAGAGATAATCCAGTAAAATATCCTCAAGTCTACCAGTCTTTGTAAATATACTGTCAGGAAATTCCCAATTTCCTAGAGTATCCCATGATTACATATGATTTACCCCCCACCCCATGAACACACAGGATGCATTTTCTAGTTAATTCGGAGTTTCTTCCTTGATATCAGTGTTTTCTGGGTATCAAAAAAATAAATAAATAAAATCATATTGTCTTTTTAAAATTCCAGTGATTCTCAATATTTTGGAAGCCAGAGAGCTCTAAAAATATGAAAATGTTCTAGATCTTTTTCCAAAAAAGGTACATAATTTTGCAATTTTGGGTGTCTCATCATCTCACATTTAAAAAGTCCTTGTTTTACGCTGCTAATGCCACCTAACAGGCATGTTTGGGTCCCTATCTCCCTATCACCACCACATGTCAGTAAGAAAAAAATAAAATGTAAAAAAATCCTGGCTGGGCCGGCCCGTGGCTCACTCGGGAGAGTGCGGTGCTGATAACACCAAGGCCCCGGGTTCGGATCCCATATATGGGAAAAAAAAAAATCCTGGCTGGGCCGGCCCGTGGCTCACTCGGGAGAGTGCGGTGCTGATAACACCAAGGCCCCGGGTTCGGATCCCATATATGGGAAAAAAAAAAATCCTGGCTGGGCCGGCCCGTGGCTCACTCGGGAGAGTGCGGTGCTGATAACACCAAGGCCCCGGGTTCGGATCCCATATATGGGATGGCCGGTTTGCTCACTGGCTGAGCGTTGTGCCGACAACACCAAGTCAAGGGTTGAGATCCCCTTACCGGTCATCTTTAAAAAAAAAAAAAAAAAAAATCCTGGCTATTTCTGACTGGTGCCAAAATAAATTATGAGATTACACAACCCAAACATACCTCATCTATAGCAATAAGTTATATTAAATCATAATATTAATTAAATAAGGACTGTTATACGGGATGACAGTCATCCTTGAATTAGATGGAATAGAATCACAAAATAACTCATTTTTTAAATTCCTTAGCAAGAAAACAAAAGTAAAGGTTAACAAGCATGGTTTTATTTATTTTTAAAGCTTAAAGGCTGCAATCCACTCTCACCAAAACACTGAACATTACATCCATTAGTAAGTCCTCAAGAACTGTGAGAAGGCTGCAATGTTCTCAGGTGAATCCAAGATCACCACTTCAAAACAAAAACAGTGGTGAGAAAGGAGTTACAAGAGAGCAAGTTTTCCCCCTCTGTGAATATTAATAAAGCATTAAAATCAATGCAAATAATTTAGGCACCTTAAGAGCTGTCCTTCAACACTAAACACCAAATAGGCTTAACCTATTACAGATAGTTTATCTCAACAGGGCCTAATTTATTCCAAAAATACTTAAAAATTGAAATCCAATATGAAAACACTGAAACAAGTATATGGCTGCTAAAGACTTGGTGATTCTGTATCTAGAGACAGCTGGTTAGGCTTCACTCCTAATAATGATAACCACCAATGGATTGGCCAAAGGTTACATAAATTTCCAATCAAACATAAGTAATACATAAAGCATCTTCCGGTCACACATCTTCTGAAGTCCATGTAAAAAGGCTTCATTAAATATTCAAATAACAAGAGTTTTCTTAAAACAATTAACTACCTTCTACAGTATTTCTCAATCCTGGATACAAAATAGAATCACCTGGTGAGCTGAGGAAAAAAAAGTCTGGTTCTCATACAGAATAGATAAATCAGACTTTCTAGCAATAGGGCATCAGTGTTTTAAAATCCCCCCAGATGATTCTCATGTGCATCCAGATGTGCACCACAGCTAGAATACAGTGATTCGTAACCTTAGCTGCACATGAGAATCATCTGGGAAAGCTTTTGAAGGTCCTGACCCAGGCCCCACTCAGACAAATCAAAACGATTTCAGGTGGTTGGGCTCAGGCAGTAGTAGTTATTTAACACTCTCTAGATTGTCCAACCTCACCTGGCTCTTAAATCAATTGTTTAAAAGAAACCAGGCAATTAGAAGATTAAGTTTCAGGCACCATTTTTTCTTCCAGTTAACCTAGAATATAACTTTGAAAGCAGTTGTTGTAAGTATTTAACTGTTAAACTGTTATCTGACGATTACTTCAAGTGTGGAAGGTATCTAAAATTTGTATTTTAATTCTGTGGATTGCATAAGCAATTTAAAAGTTTCCTTTTTGATTTGTTTTTTTTGAAAAACCTACTGTACAGTTGTAATTTTAATGATTGTGGGCAACACTCAGATTAACTTCATAAAGTGTATCTTTGGGTAATTTCAGGTGCTAAAATCAAGAATAATCTGTTATCACTAGCCCCTTACCATGTTTACCGTGTCCACTGCCACCGCCCCTCCAACAACAACAAAAAACACTATATAATATGAATATTTTGCATTAGCTTTTGGGCACAACAAACAGTATAGATTTGGGGAGATAATGATTTTCCAGAGAAAAGCAAGGCAAAAGGCATCAAAAAAAAAAAAAAATTCCCAGAAACTTTTCCCAACAGAAAGTATATAATTAAACCTGTTCTGTACAATAACTTGAGTAATCACATGGAATGGAAAAAGGCTACTAGCTGCCAAACTCTTGTGCCTACTGGATATGATTTCTTCAAGGTGTAACTTCTTTAGCCAGTCACCTTAATGAACTACCTTGTCTTCACAAGGTACCCGGTTACTTTATAAGCTAGTGCAGGCCTGAGATAATATATTCAAAGAGCCTAGCACAACACAAAACTTTAAAAAACAAAAGCTGGCATAGATTACTGAAGAAAGATAAAGAATGTTATCTTGCACGAAGATTCAGTTCATGATTCGGGCATGTTTTCTTTCATACTTTTGAAGATACTTTGAAAAATACCTAGGAAGACAAAATTCTAAGTTCAAAGTGAAACAGCATCACAGATTTCTCTATTGGCCCAAATTTCAAATGGCAGAAACTGTAGAAAAGTAGCAAACCAGAATAACAAACAAGAATAACACCCTGATTTCAGCAGAAACTTTGTTCCAAGAAGCTGAGAGTTTCGATGTACGTACAGCCACATTTATCCACCAAGCTCCTTACTGAGACAGAACGGAGTAATTTCTATTTACTTTCTAATGAGAAAAAATGAGGAGCAGAGGAGTTAAGTGGCTGGTCTAAGGCACAACAGTTATTAGCAGAACTGGGAATAAGAAACAGGTCTCTAGACTCTAGGTCCACTGTATTACTGCTAGATGAGTTTTGGGGCCTGGGGTGAGGAAAGACCTATTTGCAAAAACAGTTGGATTAGCAGCCCTCGTTTCTTCATTTGTAAAAGGAAATAAACTCATCAAGTTGTTGGGGGAATGTGGTATGGTGAAACCAGGTAACTCCTCCTTCCAGGCTATGGTGGAACTGCACACTCACAAGGCAGCCCGGCAGCCCTTGGTGCAATCCAATCTCTTGCCTACTCCCAGGGAAATCTGTTCTCTTTTTGGCTACTGGGTCTTTTCAGAGTCAGAAGGGGTTGGGGGTTTATCAGTTATGAATGCATTTGCCTTTGGGCATTTTTCTAAAATTACCCATTATTCTTACATATAATTCCATCTCAAGAAGGAAGTAGCTCAAAGTGGGAAGTCAAAGCTATGTATGCAGCTCATCAAGCTATTATCGGACTCTAATAAGCAAACATCCATTGACCAAATACACAACCTCTTTTAAAGTTCAGAATCAAAACAGTAGAAGGATGGTTTTATTCATTTACTCTGCAGAACGTAGTGAGTGCCTACTATGTACCAAACATTGGTCTATGCATTGGAGTTAAGAAAATAATTAAGTTCTTTCCTCTCACAGAACTTACATATTGATAGAGGTGCAACAGTAGCACTCCTGACCTGCATGCATGCCCCTTTTATTACAACAGTAAGATTAAATTCTTCCTTTACATTTAATAAACTACAGTTGGAACTGCAGGCAAGTTACTGCCAAAGAAACAGCTGAGCACTAATTACACACAATGTAAAAGCATCAGACCTGTTGGCTCTTACAGGTGACAGATAATGGGTAAGACAGAAGAAAACTCATGATGACAAAGCTATCCTACCTACATTTTTATAATTCAAGTATCTAAGTATGTTTACATAATGCACATTTACATACATTAGCAGTTCTATCATGCAAAAAGTCCAGTAACATAATAGTAAGATAAGGAACAGAAAGGGATAGTCTTCACTTTTAGAGAATGAAGCTCTTACTTCTCAGATCTGCACACTGTCTTGTTACTCAAAATGTGGCCCTCAAACCACGAGCATCCAAATCTCCTGGGAGCTTGTTAGAAATACAGAATCTCAGGACCCACCCCAGGCATATGAATCAGAATCTGCATTTTAACTAACTCCCCAAGATTTTTATTATAGTTGTACATTAAAGTCTAGGAAAATTGTCCTATACTACGTGGATTAAAATGAAATTGGGAATGGGCTCCTACAGGCCAAATCTGGGACAATTTGATTACCGAAGTAATTAAATACAGTAATGAATTACAAAATATTTAAAAACAGAAATTTGTGAGTGTACACTATTAATAAACAAATAAATAAATAAACAGGGAAGAAAGAAGGGCTCTCACATTAAAACGCCAAGAGCTGGCTGGCAAATACAAAGGATATGCTGAAGTTGGAAAGTCATTTTGTAACAGAAATGACTAGCTCAGGCAAAAATCACCAATGTATACTACACGTAAGGGGAAATTTTAATGACAAGTAGAATATTTGGATCATTTGGTGTTGTCAGCACCACGCTCAGCCTTGAGCGAACCAGCCATCCCTATATAGGATCCGAACACATGGCCTTGGTGTTATCAGCACCGCACTCTCCTGAGTGAGCCACGGGCCGGCCCTATATTTGGATGATTTTTAAAATGTCTCCCCATAGGCTGATTTATAGTTGCAAGGGGGAAAAACATAATTATATGTTTTGTGGAGAAATCAATGACATCTCAACAGGGTGATCAAAATGAATATCACCAATGAGGGACACACGGACATGGTGTGACCCCAGATGTAACACCCTCAGGCTTAGCATGTGAACCGTTGTTCCACACATGGAAAGCATCCTACAGCAATAACTGAAAGAGTAAGAAATATAATATAATGGAAGGATTCTGGCAAGTTTTCTTATATGACATGGATTCAATAAAAGAGTATACTCAGCCTATAGCAATGACGGAATCACATCAAAGAAAATGTTATTTTCCAAACTAGAACAATTCCGTTAGACAACTTAAGACAAAAGGGAAAGAGCTTACATGGGCAAGATGAGAAGAAATAAAAGTGGATAACAGACAATAAGTGAGAATTCAGTATAACGAATTAAATGAAATAAACAGGATTAAATTACAAAGTGCCTGAAAAGCGCTAAGTGTGGTGCCTGGAGCATAATAAATATTAAAAAATTATTTGATTATTATCTTAGGAAAAAATCTAAAGGCTGACTTTTCCTTGCATGGGTTCCCAAACCTTGGTATATATCACAATACCCTTGTGAAGTTCAAAATATACAAACAAAATGCACATTCCCAATGCCTACCCCAGACCTACTGAATCAAAATCTCCAGAGTGATATCATACACCCCCCGATATGATAAGGGCACTTCCCCTCCATGGTATTCTTCCCCCAAACCCAGTAACTCCCGTCCAACCAAGAGAAAAAACATTAGACAAACCTAAGTCAGAGACATTCTACAAAATAACTTAGTCTCAAAATCGTCAAGGTCTTAAAAAAACAAGAAAAGACTCAGCCACTATCATAGACCAGAAGAGACTAAGGAGACATAATAATTAAATGCACTGTGAGATCCTGGAGTGGATCTTAAAACAGAAAATGGACATTAGGGGGAAAAACTGGGCTCAAATTTTGGCTTTGTTGATTTCTATCTGGCACTCATTTACTCACTGAAAAATTACTGAGTGCCTACTTTACTTCTCTAAGCCTCCATTTCCTTATTATGAAGTTGGAGGTTTGTAAGTAAATGAAATAATGTACGTATAACACTCAGCATAATATATGGAATGCAATGAGCACTCAATAATTGTTAGCTGCTATTACCATTATCATTTTTAATAAATTTCACTGGCTGATCAATGGTCATCAAGATAGATTACATAAAGTAAAACAGCTTCCACTGTGTTTTTTAGGGAAATGAAAAGGTTAAACTCCTCCCTCAGAAACAAAAGCTTTCTTTTTTTAAAAAAAGATGACTGGTAAGGGCATCTTAACCCTTGACTTGGTGTTGTCAACACCATGCTCACTCATTGAGGTAACCGGCCATCCCTATATGGGTTCCGAACCCGTGGCCTTGGTGTTATCAGCACCACACTCTCCCGAGTGAGCCACTGGGCCGGCCCAGAAACAAAAGCTTTACTCCAGCAGTAAAGTCTCATGTCCCTTGCTATTAGATGACAAAGAATATGGCTTCCTGGTGCTCTTTGGATATTATGAATAACAAAATGACTCACAATTTATATTTCATAAAGTCATCATTAAGCTAATTTTAAGGTTAGAAGGGGAGAATCAGCTATAGGTAGCAAGAAATGTAAAAAACAAATTTGCACTGTATAGATTCCCTCTCTTTTCCAAAGTCGAAACTACAAAAGCTTTACTCCAGCAGTAAAGTCTCATGTCCCTTGCTATTAGATGACAAAGAATATGGCTTCCTGGTGCTCTTTGGATATTATGAATAACAAAATGACTCACAATTTATATTTCATAAAGTCATCATTAAGCTAATTTTAAGGTTAGAAGGGGAGAATCAGCTATAGGTAGCAAGAAATGTAAAAAACAAATTTGCACTGTATAGATTCCCTCTCTTTTCCAAAGTCGAAACTACTCGGGCCTTTACTGTCAAACAAAAGGAAAAACTAATATCGTATTAGCTGTTACCAATGTTAAGGAGTGCAGATATCTCTAGCAATGTTTCAGGGCTATGTTGTCAAATGTTCACAAGTGTTTGTAAATGGATTAAATGTGTCCCCCAAAAGTTCACATAGTACAAAGTTGATGCCCATTGTAACAGTGGGTAAGAGGCCGGGAAATCCAACTGGGGTATTTGAAAGGTGGGGCCTTTAATAGGTGATTAGATTTTGAGGACAGTGCCCTTGTGAATGAACTGATCCATTCACGGAGTAATGGGCATGGTTCTGATGACTTCCTCAGCCCACTCTTGTGACGTGCTACCCTGGTCACCACAGGATTCTGTAGAGTTCCCACCAAGAAGGAGGCCCTCACCAGATGCACCTCCTTGTCCGTGGACTTCCCAGCCTCCAAAACTGTAAGAAATAAGCTTCTTTTTTTTATAAATTACCCAGTTTCGGGTATTTTGTTGTAAGCAACAGAAACAGACTAATACAACAACAATCAAAAAAACTAAAACAAAGCAAACAAAAAACCAAAATAATTTATAAGTAATAATACATTAGGTTATATGCCCTAATGTGCTACATCATCACTAATGATGTGTCATTAGATGATAATAAACATAAATCTGCTTTTCTGCTTGTTCACATCAGAAATAATCTTTGGATTTATAAAATGTCTTCTGGTTAAATACCAGACAGAGAAGAAAGCACATGGCATCTGGACCTGGGTTTGAGTTCAGATACTACCAATTACTACTAGTGTAACCTCGCAAGAACCCTAACAAATCTGGTCTTTAATATCTTCACCATATAGTGGGAAAAATAATAATAATACCACCACCTACCCAGCAGATTGTAACAAATCAAAAGAATTAATGTACATGAAAGTACAACTGGGCAAGGCAAAACAAATCATTTGTCATATCATAGCAACTGATAACTACCTAACAAAAATAGGATAGTAAACCATATGAATCTTACTCAAAGTTACAAATGGAATATTTATATCAATAAATATGTATATCAAATGCATGTATTTAGGGATTAATATTCTGAGATTCTTTTTTAAAAGATGACCAGTAAGGGGATCTTAACCCTTGACTTGGTGTTGTCAGCACCACGCTCA